CCCTTCAGCCAGGCTGACACGGGCCACCTCACCTGCCGCCGCGGAGGGTCCCTCATCTCTGTTTTGCCCCGCTGGCCCTCTGGGCGTGGTGAGACCCCTCTTGCAGAGCTGGAAGGGACCAGTGAGTGCCAAGAGCGGGGGAGGGACTCTGGGCGTGATGCTTAAGAGGGCCTTCTCACTCTCAGTCTGGCTCCAGCCCTCATCACAGTCCCCTGAGGCCAGTCGAGCCCGGGTCCCCCCATTTCATGGGTGAGGAAACGAAGCTCAAAATAATTAAGCGCTTTGTGAGTAGTGGAGCTAGAACTCCAGCACAGGCTTCCACCGGCCAAGGCTTTACTTCCTGTCATAGCTGCCTTGCTTTACTTAGCAACAATTTCCATACCCCAAATTAGAACCGTGGGCCTGACAGGACATTTGTGCCACTTCTGGGTGCTGCAAGTCAGTGTGCAAGGGCCTGAGACCCACCCCCAACCCCTCCGGAAAGTATCGTTAAAGTGATTTAGGGAAACAAAAACAAAACAAAACCCCCCAAAACCCTGATATCCCAAATATGGGTCGAAACTTTAGGACTCTGTGAACAGGCAAGGTGCCAATGGAAAGGGGCACAAAGAGGGATGCAGGCTCTTTAAGCCTCTGAATATAGACCTTTTTTCTCCTTTAAGATGCGACTTTAAAATATCATCTTATAATTAATATACCCCTATGATAGTATTCCTTCTGTGTTGTCACTTTGCAAAGTTATGCTGGCTGTTGCTCAGAAATATTCATGAACTGCCTCAGAACCAACCTACAGGCTACCCACAAAAATCTATTTCTCTATTCGACTAAAATCCTTTTTCCATTTTGCTTCTCTTGAGATAAAGGAATATGTAGTAGGTTGTGAGGGAAGTTCCCAGAGTAGAGGGATATTAGAGGAACAAGAATTTTAATCTCTCACGCACTTTGAAGGATACAACTCTCATTTGGAAATGCAAATTCTGCTGTGACCTGTTTTAAAACCAATCACCTGCATAGTGTGTACAAAGAAACAGGCACCTTATGAGAGCCCCAGTGCCGGTCTTTCTAGGGAAGAACCTTGGCGAAAGAGTGATTTGTGAGGAAGGTAGCAAAAGCCTGCAGGCATTTCTGAAATAATCAATGGCAATTATATTCTCACAGATGTCCCACGAGAGAGGCAAAGACCAGTAATAATGAAACTTAGTAGTATCCTTACAAAGTGGTACTGAGCTATGGACATTTATGCAACATCTCATTTAATCCTTTCAACGCCCTGTGAGGTTTGTACTATTATGTTCGTTTTACGGTGGATACAACTCTTTCTTCCATGTAACCAGTAAGAAAATTACACCCTGAAAGAAAATACAGAATCAATCAGAGCCAGGACAACCACTGTTACTTTGGTCATATGATTACTAGGCAGTCTCTTATCTTCATTTTAACAGAAAAATGTAATTTAAAAGTCAGCTTTGGGCTTCAAATCCAAACCCTGTTTTCTTTTAAGTTAAACTTTTTCTTTATTTTCTTCTAAATTATATGGTTTCTTGTAAGTGAGAGAAAGGTAAAAGGAGCACCAGTTATGTTTTGGATACCAGAATAAGCCCTTTCCAAGCCTTATTTCATTTAATCCTTGCGATAGCCCTGTGAGGCTCAGTGAAGTTAAGCAACATGCTCAAGGTTACACAGCCAATAGGGAGTGAAGCCAGAATTTGAACAAAGCCCTGACTCAAGACTATGCCCTTTTCAATAACTCGTGCTGCCTAATTAGAAGAAAATTGTGTGGGGCAATTATGTTTTCTTGTGACTTTATTTCTTATCATCAAGATGTACACACCAATAATTCTATCACAAGCAAACCAAATTTTCTTTTTTTTTTTTTTTTTTGCGGTACGCGGGCCTCTCACTGTTGTGGCCTCTCCCGCTGCGGAGCACAGGCTCCGGACGCGCAGGCCCAGCGGCCATGGCTCACGGGCCCAGCCGCTCCGCGGCATGCGGGATCCTCCCAGACCGGGGCACGAACCCGTGTCCCCTGCATCGGCAGGCGGACTCTCAACCTCTGCGCCACCAGGGAGGCCCGCAAACCAAATTTTCGATTGTAAAGTTACTTGTGAAAGGCAAAGTCGCTCAAGATAATTGTAAAGGCCTTCATTGTTTTGGATTTCTCTGAGCTTATCTCCAAAATAGTTATCACTTTACTTTATCACATTCAACTGTCCACTCATACTCTGAGTGACCAGAGGCCCAAGACCAAAGTTTGATTTGGAAGGTTGATTCGTTTGAAGGGCACTGTGTTTTGTTTATTTTGTTTGTAACTTGAAATTTGAATGCTTTTAGTGGGCCCCAAATATCTCTTCACTCCTCTCCTTGGCAGGGCCGGATGCTTTCTACACACCTTCTAGCCTCTGAAGTCTTTGGAGCTTGCAGCTAACTTTAGAAGTTATAGTACAATTGGGCCACTAGATGGTGATCTTTGATTATATATAACTTGAGTTTCTTAAATTGAGCTGATAAGATGTATCACTATTTTCTTAAATCAAGCTTTCAATAGTTACAGCTTTACCATAACTTTTTACAAAATACTTATTAAAAATACTTTATTAAATATTCGGAGTAATATTAATTAATCAAAAATCTTTTGGCTCAAATGGAGTCTCTCTGTAATGTTTAACAAGTAGATACCAACAGGCAAGGCCTTGCATGTAAATGATCTCATGGGAACTGAACTAGGTAAGGAGTGTTGTCTGCACAGTGCCCATGAGAAAAGGGAAGTTATGTTGAGGTATCTTCCATTTGACTCCAGAGCCAGGACTCCAGCCAAGATCTCATTGCGTGTCTGGTGGTCTTTTCACTCCACCAAAAGTCAACAGTCTCAGAAATATAAGAAGCGGTAATATCAAGCTTTAAACTCCAGGGGTTTCAGACTGAGTGGCCCCTGTGTTTCTGGTATCCTTCAAATCGATCATCTTTCTTTCCAGTCTTGCTCTGTCAGAAAGGGCTTCCCAAGGCATTGCTGATTTGTTCCAATCTTGGCCTGTACACACCTGTTCTAATGCAAGAGAAAGCTACTGCATTCTTTCCTCTCCAAGCTAAACTCAAACTTGCTGTAGAGAATCCAAGATTCTTTTCTTTTTTCTTGACTCTTTGATTTAATTAAAAACATTTTAGATTATGGTACTTTCTTCTACTTTCAGTAAAATGTCTATTCTTTGATAATGTCTTTTCTTTAGAAAGTGCTGTACAACTTCCTTTGGCCCCATTTTGTTGCTTTCCTTTGTCAGAGAGCATTCATCCCACATTTTTATTGAAGTATAGTTGGTCTACAATGTTTCAGGTGTACAGCAAAGTGATTCAGTTTTATATATATATTATTTTTCAGACTCTTTTCTGTTATAGATTATTACAAGATATTGAATATAGTTCCCTGTGCTATACAGGAGGTCCTTGTTGTTTATCTACTTTATATATAGTAGTGTGTATGTGTTAATCCCAAGTTCCTACTTTATCCCCTGCCCCTTTCCCTTTGATAACCATAAGTTTGTTTTCTATGACTGTGAGTCTATTTCTGTTTTGTAAATAAGTCCATTTGTATCATTTTATAATCCTACATATAAGTGATATTATATGATATCTGTGTTTCTGTGTCTGACTTACTTCACTTTACTTCACTTTGTATGATAATCTCTAGGTCCATCCGTTTGTTGCTACAAATGACATTATTTCATTCTTTTTTATGGCTGAGTAATAGTCCATTGTATATATATACCACATCTTTTAAAAAAAATTTTATTGGACTTCCCTGATGGTCCAGTGGTTAAGACTTCATGCTTCCACTGCAGGGGGCATGGGTTTGATCCCTGGTTGGGGAACTAAGATCCCACATGCTGCGTGATGTGGCCAAAAAAAAGAAAAAACTGATTGAAATATAGTTGATTTACAATGTGTATTAGTTTCAGCAAAGTGATTCAGCTTTATATATATTATTTGTGTATATATGTGTGTATATATATACATCTGTATATATATTCTTTTTTAGATTCTTTTCCATTATAGGTTATTACAAGATACTGAGTATAGTTAGTTCCCTGCACTATATAGTAGGTCCTTGTTGGTTATCTGTTTTATAAATATATAGTAGCATATTTTAATCCCAAACTCCTAATTTATCCCTCCCCCACCTTTTCTCCTTTAGTAGCCATAAAGTTTGTTTTCTATGCCTATGCATATATACCACATCTTCTTTATCCATTCATCTGTCGCTGGACATTTAGGTTGCTTCCATGTCTTGGCTATTGTAAATAGTGCCACTATGAACGTTGGGGTGCATGTTTCTTTTCAAATTAGAGTTTGCTTCTTTTCCAGATATATGCCCAGGAGTGGGATTGCTGGATTATATGGTAACTCTATTTTTAGTTTTTTAAGGAACCTTCATACTGTTTCCATAGTGACTGTACCAGTTTACATTCCCACCAACAGTGTAGGAGGGTTCTTTTTTCTCCACACCCTCTCTAGTATTTATCATTTGTAGACCTTTTGATGATGGCCATTCTGACTGACGTGAGGTGATACCTCATTGTAGTTTTGATTTGCATTTCTCTGATAATTAGTGATGTTGAGCATCCTTTCATGTGCCTGTTGGCCATCTGTGTGTCATCTTTGGAGAAATGTCTAATTAGGTCTTCTGTCAATTTTTTGATTGGGTTATTGGGTTGTTTTTTTTTAATTGAGATGTATAAGCTGTTTGTATGTTTTGGAAATTAATCCCTTGTTGGTCCCATCGCCTGCAAATATTTCTCTCCCATTCTGTAGGTTGTCTTTTCATTTGGTTTATGGTTTCCTTGGCTGTGCAAAAGCTTTTAAGTTATTTAGGTCCCATTTGTTTATTTTTGCTTTTGTTCCCATTACTCTAGGAGGCAGATCC